CTTTCTCTCTCGTTTCTTTCTCTCTCATATACACTCATACATTCTCACTCTCACTCACTCACTGGTTAACAATTTCGGTCACTCCCTCACTTCATCACACACCCACTTCCTTTCTGAGATCCCAAAAGGTTTTACTAACCTAGTCCACACTAGGACTCAAAGTACAAACGGGGCTGAATCTCCTTTGAATCAGGAGTGTTGAGATTCAGCCTTGCAACATGTCCCCTTGTATCTGAAGTGTACTGCGGATCTACGCGATACATGATTTTGAGTTCCATCGAAACGGGATTCAGCTATTCAATGTTGCGTAACATTGCAAGCGTAGACGCATATTCCGGGCGCAGCCGAGCCGGAGTGTAGTTGCGAGTTTCGCGATAGAGGAAACAGAATTTTTAAATTTTGTGTTTTCTTTAAACACTTTCGGCGCAACCATTTGCAAAAGAAACATCGTTAGATATCATCCTTAAAAACTTGACAAATCTCATTTTATCTTCTAGCTTTAATGTGCCCAAAAGATTGCGGCCTGTATCGTTGTTACCAAACAATTTTCGGACCCCACCATCTTCTTTGATTTTTTATTTCTATTTTTAATTAATAATAACAGTGACGGAGAAACTCCCGCGAGGCCTAACTCCTGGTACATTTTTTAGGGAACTGCCTCTGTAATGTTGATGTGAATTATTGTTGAGGGGCAGCCCCCAAACAGACGCGCAACATTGAATCGGGCCTGTTCTCAGCAAAGAAGCGCAGCTTTGACCCAAGTGCAGATTAAGCATAGGTTTCGTGTAATTATACTGAAAGCAGCGATTAAAAGCACTGTATGTAATACATAGTCATTACAGTATTTACAGCTAGTTAACAAGCAAAACAATTGACAAATTGTTTTGGGTGATTTTCTCTCTAAGGGTATTCGTATAATTTTGCCCATTGGAAAGTTAGAATTATTTGATATTTTAAAATGCCACACCATACTTATGATACCCATGATGATAATCAATCTCACAGCACCATTTCGGCGAAAAGCTGAAGCTGCAATTCGTAGGGTGTAGGTACAGATTTTTGACGTCCATACATTTAACATTTAATAAGTAAGAAGCCAAAAGATGAAAATTAGAAGAAAAAACAGTGCATTGTAAAGGTGTGTTTATACACTAGTGCCCAAGAGCCTCTTGCAAAAAATTTAATGGTTTACTCTTTAAAAATTGAATTTGTTTATATCTATTTATTTATTCAGAGAGACCAGTCTGTTGGGTAGCGGAAATGAAGAACGGTGAGAGTCGTAGGAAGCACAATTTGTATTCAATAGACAATTTCGATTGCCTGATAAAGTCGGTAATGCTTTTTCAATAGGAAGTCTCATTTAAAAAATAATAATAATAATAAATATATATCACGATATTTGCCAGTTTTGCAATGATAACACTTTTCTCCACCCTTTCGATGCACAAGCTGAGATAATATTGCGAATGTCCCTTCTTGAAATTAAAGCCACAATTGTACGTCGAGCATAACCCACATTTTCGTATCCCCCCCCCGGTCCTTTATTAAATTCCGACTTACTGGGCCGGCAAAACACAAACCATACAAATTTGTATTTTTACGAATCAGCTCTTAATTACATGTAATACAAAGAAAACCATTTGAATTCAAAAGCGACTTATGATTAAGAATAATTTCACATTAATAACACGAAGAATAAAGTTCTATAATTTGGTCATTAACGATAACGATTTTGGTTCGTCGTAATTCCATTCGTACAAAAACACTGTTAAATCCATAGGCAAATATTAATGTATGGTGATTAGTGACCGTTAAACGATGACTATTCGGAGATCGTGAGATGCGGTCTGGTGTGACGTAGGTTTCAGAAAATCATTTTCTTTATAGTGCTGACGTTTCGATCTTTAGTGAGATCATCTTCAGGGCCTGGGATTTACAAATATTGTTTAAATTTAACAAATATATGTAGGATGTCGAAAAAAGTGAATTTATACAATGCAAATTTGATTGAATATAACTTTTTTTGCATTGTATAAATTAACTTTTTCCCACATCCTACATGTATTTGTTAAATTTAAACAATGTTTGTAAATCCTAGGCCCTGAAGATGATCTGAATAAAGATCGAAACGTTGGCACGATAAAGAAAATATTTTTCTGAAACCTACGTCACACCAGACCGCATCTCACGATTTCCGAATAAACAGCAAATATGAATCCTCGTTTGACTTTATTGAACCCCAACTGTCTTTACGTTTTATTTACTGTGGTAAAATGGAACAAGAAGAGAAACTCAACATTTCCTGTCTTCTTTGATCTTATTGGTTTTGCATTGGAAGTGCAAATGTATAGAAGGAAAGGAAATTGGGAAAAAAATAAAAGCAATGCTAATATTGCGAATCTAGTGAAAGTGCTGAAATAAAAATATTGGTACGAAAGGAGTAAATGGCATTTATATCTTCTGACCCTACATTAGAACGCATCTTATTAATACTGTAGGTTTAATTGAAAGATTAACACAATCTATGAAAAATTACAAAAGGATTATTTAAAAAAATGGAAGCAAAGCCAAAATTGCGAATCTGGTGACAGTGATGGGGAAAACTGGAAAAATAAAAAATGTAAAATGACAGTTTACGTCAGAAATCATCTGTACAGAAATTATTGATTGTATTTATACGTTAGATTTAAAAGATAAAATTAATTTTTAGCTTTTATCGTCAAATGTATCCTTTGTTAATATCACCTTAACCCTTTACTTTTTTAACATCTCAAATTAGTCTTTTCTTTGAAATTGTAACCGGTGAAGGAAATATTTAATACATGTGAATTTTGAAAATAATGTTTGATGGAAATGAACGTTGTAAATAAGATAAGAAACCAGAACCATTCTTTCAGGATCCCGGGGTTACAAAATATTAAAAAAACCTAAGAAAAGGTATGAAATGTAAGCACGTAATGTAAAATCGTGCATTAAAAAAAATTAAATATATAACTTTTTCCATCAAATTAAACCTACTTTAATTTCAAATTAATCCTTTTTAATTTCAAATTAACCCTTTTTATCTTCAAATTAACCCTTTTTAACTTCCAATTAACCCTTTTTAACTTCCAATTAACTCTTCTTCGTCAAAGAACTCTTTTTAACTTTAAATTCACCTTTTTAAGTTGATGTTAACCCTATTTAATTTCAGATTAACATTTTTTATCTTCAAATTCAAGTAATAGAACACCGGGATATCAATCAGGATATCGTGTGTTCGATTGCCATTCGTCAATTTAATTTTTCATCTCGACCACACTGCATAAAATAATTAATTGTTTAATTTGATTAAAAATTGTATAAAATGAAATATAAAAATAAATTAATCTTGCTTTAATTGGAGATTTTTTGTAATAGAATAATTGTGCTCTTAAAAACAACTTTTTTCCACATAATGACATTTTTCTCAAATTAAAAGAAGAATGTTTATATTTTATGCTATTTAATTTTAAATGTTAATTGTAATTAATTTTCATATGATCTTACAAGAGCCAAATTATTTTATATTAATAAACAAATTCTCAAATACATAAAAAATCATTACTTTACACTCTTACATTTCATACCATTTGCTCAGTTTTTTAATACTTAAAGAAAAGTGTTAATTTTACGTTACAAACTGTGATTTGATACGAAAAAGGTTTAATTTGACGAGGGGAAGCTTCATTTAAAGTGCAAAAACGTTTAGAAATTTTGAAAACAGACGTAAAGCCAAAATTGAGAATAATGTATGAAGTAATGAATGAATGTACAGAATATACTGTGCTAGTGGAAAAATACAATAGCGAATTCGTACAAGTGGAGTAAAAAAAAAAAAAAATTGAAATATCCTTAGACCGTACATAAGTTTCTTTACATCAATTATTAATCACTAATTATTCAGATATCGTGAGATGCGGATATCTGAATAATTATCGATTGACGGTCACTAATCTCTACACATTATTAATCACGTTGTTTGAATTTAAAGATAAATTAGTAGATTTTAAATTAAAAAATATAGCCTAAACAACTTGATAAGAGTACGGGTGGAAGAAATTGGAAAGGGACAATAGTGGATTGGTGCAAACGGGAAGTGGAGTAAAAGGAACGATTCAATTGAACGGTTCTTCTGGTTCCTTTTATTGTTCGTTCGCCCCCCATTCCCTTATTATAGTGGAAGGAAAAGAAAGAAAAATAGAAGTAATGCCAAAATTGAGAACAATGTATGAAGTAATGTATAAATTGTATAGAATATACTGCGCTGATGGAAAAATACAATAGCAGATTTGTACAAGTGGAGTAAAAAATTGAAATATCCTTAAGCCGTACATAAAGATAGTATCTTTACACCAATTAATTATTAATCACGTTGTTTGAATTAAAAGATAAATTAGTAGATTTTAAATTAAAAAATATAGCCTAAACAGCTTGATGAGAGTACGGGTGGAAGAAATCAGAAAAGAACAAAAGTGGATTGGTGCAACAGGGAAGTGAAGTAAAATGAACGATTCAGTTGAACGGTTCTTCTGGTTCCTTTTATTGCTCGTTCGCCCCCCACCCCCTTATAATAATAATGAAAGAAAAAGAAAGAACAATAGAAGTAAAAATTGAGAATAATGTATGATGTAATGTATAAATGTACAGAATATACTGTGCTGATGGAAAAATACAATAGCAAATTCGTACAAGTGGAGTAAAAAATTGAAATATCCTTAATCCGTACATAACAGATAGCATCTTTACTCCAATTATTAATCACGTTGTTTGAATTAAAAGAAAAATTAGTAGATTTTAAATTAAAAAATATAGCCTAAACAGCTTGATGAGAGTACGGGTGGAAGAAATCAGAAAGGGACAAAAGTTGATTGGTGCAAACCGGAAGTGGAGTAAAATGAACGATTCAATTGAACGGTTCTTCTGGATCCTTTTATTACTCGTTCGTCCCCCACCCCCTTATTATAGTGGAAGGAAAAGAGGGGAAGAAGTAAATCGGTAGGTTGCAGTCTCTCAGGACGCAGAGTCAATTTCACAGTCCGTCAAACCCGACGCTGTAAGGTTTACAGTCCATAGAATCCTACCATGTAGCTGTAGAGAGAACAGTCCAACTGTAGATATCCACAACAGACATCATCCCCGACAAACTCGTACATCACAACGATAACAATTTAGATTTAAAGTTCAAAATGATTTTCATCTTTGTGTCCATCTTCATCTCCATCTTCAAGTCGAGTAAGTAGAAACAATCCAATTAATGTCGAGCTCGATTTTTTAAGGAGTTTTGAAAGCAGGTCTATCGGCTGTCAAGTTGTCACGCCGATTTCCCGTGTTTTATCTCCCGAAAATTTGTAAATATATAAAAAGCAAAACTCATTCCAACTAATTTTACAGTTTATACCCACAATTAACTCTGCATCAGTTAATAAAAAACGAGAAAGAACGTGGGCTTGGATAATTTTGGTCCTCCCCATTTGTCACTCTTTAAACCTGTGACTCACACATTTGACATTTACCGGGTGGGTTTAGCTCCTTCCATCGTGGGCGGGCAAATAATTTCTAAAGTAACTTTATTTAAACGCAAACATCTTTTTCCTTGTTGTTCCTTCATTTTTTAAATTTCATTAACCTGTGACTTACAGAACCGCCAGTATACTTACATTTCCCATAATGATTAAATTTTTTTCATAAATATATATTTATAGTCAGTCAGTAATCAACTGAACTAAAACAAGAGTATTGTAGCTCGAAGTGAGAAAAAGAAACTACAGTTTGAGTCACCTCTGACATTTGACACCTATGCTGCATTTTCTCCCTAAGGGGCATACTTTACATCATTACATCATTTAAGTTAGACATGTCACTAGTCCCTAACAGATTAAGGCATTTTAGCACTTTCCGGGGGTTTCTTCACTTATTTCTTTCGACATCCGTATCGTCTTTCCGACTAGGTGGTACCGATTCCAGGCCAATGCTTTGCAGACACAAAGTACATGCGTCCATGTTTCTGCTTCAATTTTGCCCATTTTTGAGGTGGTTAAATGGGCACTGGCCAGTATAAAGACCCACTATTTTCCTTGATTCTTGCCTATTAACAAAGAAATTGATTTTTTCCTTTCCTGGTTAAGATATTGAGAGGAATCTTTGATGGTTTGTACCTGGTGAATTCATCAAATGTATGTTCATTACTTTCTCCAACCATTTGTTCAGTCCTGTTTTTACTATGCTTTGGGGCATGACAATTTGTAGTCCTGGTCCAAAAGGTGTAAGGACTGCTGCCTTTACTAGTTTGTCAGTATGTTTATTTCCTTCGTACCCCTCGTGTCCTGGAAACTACATCAGATAATCAATTTTCCCAGGTGCTGGAAGGAAACATGTTAATCATCCATAGTCATTGTCTTGCCATATGATCATGTGTACCAATATGGGTTTTTCTTTCTCTGTCATTGGTAGTTCATAACCATTTCATCAAAGAGTCATTTAGAATATTGCCCTGATAGAGAATGTGATGCCTTGTGTGTTGAAAGGGATTAAACTGAGTTATATATACTGTCCCATAGTTGCATCACCTATGTCCATCAACACATTGCATTGGAACGCTTGCCCTCCCTAAAGGACACACACAGTCAGGTCAATACAGCTAGTTTGGCTCTTTTATCGATTAAGTCATTGGGAGGGTATTGACCCGTGAATCAGTGATCACATGTTGAACCAGCACTGGGCCCATCTACACTCACATGCTTTTATGCCATTCAAACTGCTTTCAGCACTGTGCCATCTTCAATGAGAAACTGGAGGAACTAATAATGGCGCAGAGGTGAAATGTATTTTAGTAATATAAAAGTACTACAAGTGCAGAGACCCAGTGAGAGCCAGTGCTGGTTCAACAAGTCAGCATCAGCCAAGGCAAGGCTGCCTTGTTTTGTTTTTCATTTCATCAAAGATTTGTAAAGAATTAATTGCCTTGACAGATAATGTGATGCCTTAAGTGTTGAAATAGATTGACCAGGCTGTCCCAGAGTTGTGTCACCCATGGCCAATGACACTTCTGCTGCATTTGAATGCTTTTTCTCTCTAAAGGGCGTATATTATAAAATGCACACAATTGTTTAAGTTTAGCATGTCCGTTCAGGTCAAGGCAGCAAATGTGGCAGCCTCGTTCTCTGTTTGTATGCATCGGTTCATTCACCAGTAGTCATCAACTTGTCACATGATCATGTGCATCAATATGGATTATTTTTTCTGATCTATCACAGTTTATCAAAACCATGCAGCTGTTTTCTTATTCTGGCAGTCTCAATATAGGACAAATATTGTGAAGTGTACACAATTGTTTAAGTTAGGCGGGTTCATGTAGGTGAGGCAGCACACATGGCTCTTTTTTTGGATAATTAAATGTTTAAAGTTTATGGTGGCTGTTGGTCTCTGTGCCATTTTCAGGAGGAACTGAAATTTGTTCAGAGCCAAAATGTGTTTGAGTAATATAAATACCCCACAAGTGTAGAGAGACCCAGTGCTAGTTCAACAAGTCAGCATCAGCTGAAGCAAAGCTGCCTTGTTTTGTTTTTGGTTTCATCCGAGTCGTGTAGAATTTATTGCCTTGATAGATAATGTAATGCCACGTATTGTGTTGAAATGGATTGAACTGGCTTAAGAGGCTGTATTAAAGTTGAGACGCTGGTTATAGACTTGCTGCATGACCATGTGTGTCAATATGGATTCATCTCTCCAAGTTAGATATGTTGTCACATAAGGCTCTGTTTTCTGATAAGTCAGCATTTAAAGTTATATGTGTTGGTCTGGGAGTCAGGGAACCCTTGTTGCACCCTCACTGTATCCGTCTATACTTGAAAGTTTTTTATGTTATTCAAACTTTGCATTGTGTCATCTTAAGTGAGTTACAGGAAGAACTAATAATGGCACACAGCCGAAATGCGTTAATGTAATATCAAAATACCACTAGTGTAGACATAAGTAATAAGTGACTCAATGCTGATTTTATAAAAATGAATAATAAATATAATTTCCTATTAATTTATTTTTCTATAATTATCTATTTAACTTTAATTTTTTTGTTGTAGGTAGCGCAACTTGTGAAACATACGATGTTTCATTTACCTGCCCAACTCCTGAATTTCCAAGTAATTACACAAGCTGCTGCTGGAAAAATGACACTGTGATATGTTGTCCAGGAAATAACTACGTAAACGATTCGTAAGTTTTGGAATTATTGTAAGTCTAGTTGCACATTTATCCAAGTGGAGTAACATGTTATAATTTTTTTGCTTTAACCCTCCTATTGACTCCTATTTTTGGCGATTTTGGTTGCCCATTGCAGAATCCAATTTATCATGTAAAATAACTCTGGTACTTACATATGGCCATAAACCATGTGACCCTTGAGTGAAAGTTTACGTCATAGTAACCCCCCCCCCCCCGAACCTGCAGAAATGGGAAGATCCCACCCACCCTAGGTGTGGGTACCCCATGAAAGGCAGTGCTTCTTCCCATTTTTATTCAAATATTCTTTTTGCACGGCTGAAAGGGGCTGATGCTTCGAAGGATGTGCATGTGTGCCATGCCGTTCACACCATTCCCTAGTCAGGGGTAAAAGCACAACTCAGAGACCAGGCAGTCATCGGAATTTGAAACTTAAAAATAATAAATGATTAGTTTTAGTTTATTATGTTTATTTAATTGAAGTAAATTATTTGACGCAGCAGTTACAACCCCCCACAGTGCTAAGTAAATTACAGAACATTTGTTCAATTTAGATGTGCAGTTGAATAAAAGTCGTTTCTACATTCTAGAATAATTTTTCCTTTATTTTAAATAACCATTCAAATTGGGTAAATAATCAATTAAAATAAGAAAACACGTACAAAATAATAAAATTTTAAATAATTAACTTCATTAAAATCAAATAATTTACTTCAATTAAATAAACATAATAAACTTCCAGTTGAAAAAAATTGAAACAGCTATGGTCAGTGACAGTTTTTCCCTTTCTAAGGTGGCCCTAGGAATTTCAAACATAATTGTGTAGCGGGTAAAGTGGAAGGAGAGTTTAAAAAGTATAAACAGGAGGACATAGACTGTGCATCCACCACTCCCAGGACAGCTGGCATGATGCACATGTTGCATCTTCCATAGTCAACCTGTTAAAGTTCAGATTTATTTTGCAGTACAGTTTTTGGGATATTATTTTTTTTTAACTTGGAAAAATGTGTAATTTTTATTTATAAATGATGGTTTTGGTCTAAGCATTGATTACTTTTTTTCAGACTTGTGATGATGATTTCAATTTTTGTGATATTATTATGTGTAACGCTTTCGATATTTTTTGTGATTTGCTGCTTTTGGTCTCCTTGCCCTCTATATTCAGTATGTCGAATCAAATACACGTATGGTGATATAGTTGCATACAGTAAGTATATTGTCTAAAAGTTATTTAACTTTATATCTTGGCTATATATTTATTTATTTTTTCCAATTTTTAGCAAAAGAAGAAGAAGCATTAAATCTCCCTTCGGATAATTGCAAAAAGAATAATTACACTCCGCTTCATGTTAAAGTAAAAACTGTCGAAGAAGACTGAATTATCACCACACGGACTTTCAAAGGCAATAAAAGAATTAAATTTTTGTCATGTATTCTCAATGAAACAAACTTACTGTTGACTTAGATTAGTAATGGAAAGATAATAAGTCTTGATAAGTTCATTTTTACCTGTTTGATCAAGAATATTCTTTTTAAACGTTGTAATTAATCCAAATCGCATCTCACGCAATGGTTATGTTTTCAAGGATAACAAATTTAACTTTTTATATCGGGCAATCCTAACCTAAAAATTTCTGTGTGCATGTGCTTGTGTATATGTAAAAGGATGTGTATCTTTGCAATCGATATACAACTAATAATGATCTCAATTACAGACTATAAAAATAGTGTATTGGTGTAGTAACCCTTCATTTTGATTTTAAATGGTACATTGTTTATAATCAAAGTATATTATCAAGGTAATTGGCAAGAGATTAAACTGACCAATATTTAATAGATTTAACATATGAAATGTTCCCATGGATGTGTTTTTTTTATTGAGTTGATGTAGTTTAGATTTTCATAAAGAGTTTAGACGAGAACAATTACAAATTAGTTTGTAGGATTATGAATATTCTCTCTTGCCAATGTTTTTATTCAAAGTACTTTCTATTTGACAAAGTTGGTGTTTGCGCTTTTGCTTCCATGATTAACACCTATATATTTTTTTATCGACAGAATGGTTTGCATTTATTTTTTATAAAATCAATAACGATTCCATTTAAAAGTAAATATTTTCATAATGTATTTTTAGCAGCTATTGGTCTTGTGAGCTTTGTAACTTTTTTAAATGCTATTTCGCAAGACTGGAATTTTTCAATTTTGATATTGCTAAACAATATGTGTCAAAAAAAAGCAAAAAAAAAAATTAAATGCAGATATCTGTGATGACAAGTAGTAGGTGTGTTTTAGCTTCTGCAAAGTGTACAATAAATTAAAAACATTCAGTTTTATATTAAATATTTGCATTTATTCTTGAAGACTGTAATGATGGTACATTTGTGAGATTGAGTATATTTAATTCAAATGAAAGTGTGAATTTTTTCTATTCAATTTGAACATTTTTTTAATCATGAGTGTAATTTATATTGTCTGGAGTTTACCTGAATTATTATTAATTTTATTATTATTAAGAGTTAATTAACCTGATATTTGCTTTTTTTGAAAGATGTAAATATTGACATGGACCACTTTAACATTTGGTTTGTTTAATAGCATCAGATCAATTGAGGAGAGGATGAAGAGGTAAACGGAATTGTTTAAAAATTATAAATATTACTGTTGGATGTTCGAGGACTGCTGAGATTGCTTCCTGCCCTTGCACCATCTTCGTTCTGCATTCGATTAACCCTAAAATATGCAGAATGATTGCATCGACTGGGACCAAACCCCTTTCCAGTCCTCAAACATCTAACAATTACATTAATAGAAATAACAAATGGCTATTTATCAATTGTTAGCTTTTGCTTTTAGGCTCCATCAATTTTTTTCTTCTTTCTACCATGAAGCCTGATTTTTGATGAAGTTCGTTGATCGGTTCTGAGTAGAGTATACACTGGTTCTCTAAAGTAAAAGGTCAAAGGATTTTCATGAATTGTGTTGAAATCTTTTGTCATGTGTATATAAATCTGTGTGTAAGTGCCTGTTGAATGCTTTTAACTTTTCAAAACTTTTTTTTATTGACTTGGAGTTTTCTTGTTCTATAGTGTCGAAATAGAAATTTGAAACATAAAGGGCCTAGGAGTATATTCTAAAGATTTCCGGAGATCTCCTCTGTTTGACCTATGTACAAAAACTTCAGTTAGTTACTTGTTTTCAACGGCCAATTTTTTTCCATATAAATACCAATTAGTCAATTTTTCTTTAAAAACATTTGTTTGTATGAAAATGTATGCAATACTATTGTTAAAATATCTTTATTGGAAACTTAAAAAAATAAAATGAAATAAATAAATTATAGTGATCTTGGCAATTATAATTTTTGTCATGGGATATTAAATAAAATGTCAAAAATTATAAGACAATGTAAATAAATATAATTTAATAAACAATCAAAAAGGGCAGGATTGACAAATAAAAGTTGACAGTATGGATAAAAAGTTTTTATTCCTGTGAATGTTCAGTAGGGGGATGTTCATACTGATACATTTGTAGATATATATATTTTAATAAATAAAAAAAGTTATAGTATTTTTTATGCGAGGTAGATAATTAAACAAGTGTAATTGTTTTCCTCTAAATTTTGAACATTGCTTGTCGTTAATTTGTTGAACTTTTGAGGACTTATGCTTACATCCTGAGTTGAATTTTGATTTGAGCGATGGCTTTGAGTTTGACCTTCCATGTTGCTTCATTCTGATTCTGGCCATGTCACTCACATAGTTTTTTGTATGAAAGAGTGTGCACTAGTTTTCCAACAGTGCAGTGTTCTACAGGGTCTAAAGCTGCTTGTATTTTTCCTGAATTTGACTTGCAAAGCCTTCATCCTTCACTCCAAACATTCCATCAAAGACAAATCATGCAGAGTGTAATAGGCCCTTTCCATTGTCTTTCTTATAAACATTCCAGTATAAAAATTCACGTAAAGTCTTTGGATATCTATCAAAAAAAGGAGTCTTGTTTTGGCATTAGACTGCGTGTTGTTTCTATTATGAATCGAGGACTATTGAAAGCGTTTCTACTTCTATTGAACCCTCTATTAAAGTTTTGATTCAAACATTTTGATTGTTAAGAAAAAATGACCAATTAGCACATTCTTTCAGAATTGATTGCCCTCCTCATGACCAATGAGAATGCGATGCATCATTGCAATACTCATTAGTTGAATTTTGTTTGAATAAAGTCAAATGTAAAGAGATTATTTGATTTTATGCTTTTTCTCGTTCGTTCCTGTAGATAAGAGTTCCTTGCAGATATCCGCCAAATTCTAGATGGAATTCTTAAATTATATAAAGAAATCTGATTAGAGATGTTTTGTTCTCCATCACATCACCCTTTTTAATTTTTTCATATTTTATATAATAAAAAAGGTCCAAAAGGTTTTTTTCTTACTGTCTCTTTTCCTACTATGAAATTGATTGTTACTTTTGTGTCTTGTCTTTCTTAGTCTGAGATAGAATTGAATAGAAAAGCCCAATCAAATATCCATTTGGACATCCATCAAAGCTAATTTGCTAAAAGTTTTCCAGCCCCAAATGTTAAAGATCCGCATAATTTCTATGAGTTTCATAGAATGGAAAAGCAAATTTTCACACCCTCCCAGTAAGTTTATTGTATGTGGAATAAAATGATTAGTTTGCTTTATTGTTTCAACAATAAAAGGAGTGGACTTGTGTATTTGCGAAGCTATAAATTGTTGACATGTTGGAAGAATGTCGTCCTTCGCTTCACGAGGAATCCAATTTACTTGGAATCCGTGATTAGTGAGATTATTGGTTAATTAGTGAAATTTCTCCATGTTTCTAATTTTTTAGAAAACTGGTATTTATGTATTTAGTACACGCTATGATTGTGCCTCCGACAGAATAGAGAACCACAGTTACAGGAGCTTTGAATTGTAATTATATAGTTCTTATTAGCCTTCAATGTTGATCACTATCTCGGATTTTTGACGAAGTTCATTGTTAATTTTTCTCTAAATAATATTAATTTAATCATCCGTATTTCGTTTAAAAAAATCTTATTTATTTTTATTTTCCATTGTGAAACTGGCTTGTCACAGGTCAGATATCACCACAGTGTCTTATCGAGGAGCACAATGGTAAATCAACTGTGAGTTTACAAATGCTTCATGTTAGAATATAAATAATCACATCATGGCCTTATTTAAATTAATACATTTATTTCTTTAGTAATGAGTTGTGTAAACATTATGAGGAGCCGTAAATCGTTTTAAAGGCTTGACACCAGTGCATCTTTAATCGGCCAGAATGGTAGAAAAGGAGATAATGATACCTAATTTCAAAAGCAACATTTAATAATACAAATACAGTTCTGTTTATCTGAAATATTTATTGTGTAATAAAAAATATTTCAAATCTCTCAATCTCAATAGCTCATCCACCATCATAATAATTATTGGTTCATGTTCATTATTTGTGTATTACAATTCTTACACTACTGCAATATAATAATGAGTTCATTACATAGTGATATTGTTTAGGATTAAACATCTTCTGAATGGTATTTATTATAAATCAGACAAATTTTTGTATTAAAATTAATAATGTAAGTAAATATTTGCATTCGACATTCGTACCAAGTTTTTACAGTATTGTAGGTTTATATGTATATTTATTTATGGGAAAAAGGAACTTGTTTCAGACACTTATAGAAAAAAAGTACAATTTAATTGTATTTGTTTTGGATGGGGTAAAAACTAATATCTAATCTAAGTAAATAAATATTTACTTGCAATATCGGAATGGAAAATGTATGCATATATTTTTATTATTTGTTCTAGTATTTATTATGTAGTTTCCATGAACAGTTTCTGCAGCGCTATTAATTCACCCTCTGAAAGAAGAATTTGTGTTTTAATTTATTTTTGTATATTTTATTTTCTAATTCTAATAATCATGCTGTATGTAGACTCTCGTTATCTGCAGTGGATATGTACCAAGCATCACCTCTATTTTTAAGGCTTTGAAGCAAACGAATCAGATACTTTGTGTATTGTGTGTGCCTATTGTCAATGTTATGTTTGAACTTATGTACTCATATTTCAGGGTTTATTCAGAAGAAGAAAAATTACAATGTATAGTAACAAATATAAAGTTTATTCAATGAAGGAAAACAATACATACATACATCCATCAATAGGTATCCACCTATGCACGACATCGAATCAAATAAGCAAAATTATTAGGGGCCTAAAAAAGATAAAATTTATAAAAAAGATAAATTAAATTTAAGATAAAAACTATGAGGGGGGGAAGCCAGAGATGAGTGAAAATGCAGATAACGAGTGTCTACTGTATTTTTTTTTAACAGAGGGCGGTTGAATGGCTGGCTTAGGTACTCTTTACAATTAATAACAATTTTTTACTTAATTCAATAATGGACTTAAAATGATGATAAAGATACATTGGTCACAGACTGTATAATC